GTCTGTCCTGGGGTGCCACATGCTGGCCTGCGGCCCCTCCCCGGGGCCTCCAGACACCGACGGTGGCGCTGAGCCCATCATGCTGTGCTGTGGGGGTCCCTGGTGCTCTCGGGTGTACAGATAGGGGTACTGACCCTGGACCGTGGGCCCATATATCCCCCTCCTCCTCCTCCATAGGGGCTGAACATATCAGGGTGCTGAGAGCTGTACTGCTGCACGCCAAACCCCTCCCCCTCGTGACGTTTAGAGGGGGGGAACATCCCCTCCATCGGCCGCTTGTAGCCCTGCAGACACAGCAGACAGAGGCTGAGGAGCTGGACCCCAACTGGTCAGGTTCTTCACCAGTACACATCAGGGCAGGATGAAACAGGTGCCTTCTGACCGGCACAGCTTCATGACACAGCTACTGTCACTTTTCAAATGGTTCAAAAACTTTTATGGATCATTCAATAACTGTGCATTTATTTGAATTTACTCCTAACAGTTAAACCATGGAGGTTTAACAATGACAGCTGCTGTCAAATACAGAACATCAGTCCTAATGTGACCTGAGAGACTGAAATACAAGAGCTCTCTCTCCATATCTCTGTGAAGCAAAAATTATGTCTATGGGCAGAAGTGAGGCCAAGTTACAGCTTCTGAGTCTGTGTGGGCAGAAAAATTATGAAAAATATTTCACTGAAATTCAAGAATATTAACAATTAACATCTGAAAGTTTCCACTTTGTGTCATTTTTAATGTGCAGAAGCACTGAACCAGGGCGAGTGCATTTTGTCTGGTATTTCTTATGGTGTAGTCCTGATCCTGGGCTCCTGTGGAGAGCAGGCAGAGCTACAGCACCTGATCTCATGCACATATGGGTACATCTGTGCTGTTTTACTACAGGCTTGAAGAATGCTTTAACCTCTTGTGAAGCATCTGATGTTCATTCTGCTGTTTCTGGGCTCACCTGCTGCTGAGGGTACAGGGGCTGATGAGAACTGTAGGCCATGCTGTGAGGATACTGCTGTCCATAACCGTCATGTCCGTGCCTGAAGAGAGGGCGTATTGTCAGTCAGACTTTATTTACACACTGCGTACAGACATACTGTAAAAGCACACCCAGATTAAAGAGAAACCTCATCTCACCTCTGGTGGGGGTACCTGTTGGTGGGGTACATGCCGGCCTCATTTCCAGATGGGCCAATGCTGTTCTGACCTCCAGGGGGCCCAATGCCTCCCTCTGGGCCCATCACATGTTCTGGCCTGCAGGACACAAACACACCACAGTCAGTTTATTCATAATTCTGCCACCTCAGATCTTTTACTGGTTAAATGTCTGTAGAATTCAGGAATTAGTCCCAGGACAGCAGTAGTTTTTAGAATTGAGTTACTGAATATTTTTATTTTTTGCCAGCACAAAAAAATCTCTTTGCAGGTATCCTATGTTTTCACAGTTATAGCCCGACACCAGGTAATAAATATAATCATACCTCTACTGCAAAATGTGACTATTCACACTTGTCCATACTCATCTTTGGGAAACTGCACATGCACTGTACACATTGTCCTACATAGGTCTCTTCTACCAACTGGATATGTTCCAACAACATCTGTGCAATGATAAAACGTGCAAAGAGAACAACACACCTGTCCTAAAGAAGAAGAGCTTCCACTGCATGCACAATGTGCACTCGCTGAAACAGTTCACAAACACACACTGCAAGAAATCTAAATGGTGCAGCCAGCTTCTAAAACACAGTGAGCCCTCAGGCTGCTTGACCAGTGTCTCACCTCCGCTCGTAGCTGGGGCCATAGGGGTACTGGGGTCTGGGGCCCACCCCAGTCAGGGGCCCGGAGGGCGGCCCACAGGGGTACATGTCCTGCATGGCACCACTGGGCATCTGACCAAGGCCAAAGGCATCGCCTGGGCCTGGACCTGCAGAGGAACAGAAGAGGACACTTCAGTTCGTCTGGTTAAAATATACATCTTCACCAATGCTGTCTATTTTATAAACTTGTTTTTTTTCCCCTCTTAGTATTGCCCTACTTTTAGTTGCCAAGAAGGAGAAAATGGAGGATTATGAAAAACGCTCAGTGGTGATGGAGTACAGGTGTAATATACATGAATAGGTTCAAATCCACAGCAGTGTCTATTCAGCCCTTTCAAGAGACTGACAATATGACGGTTAAGATTATGACCACTAGGAGGCAGCAGAGCACACTCACTTCCAGTGACTGCACCTAAAAAAAACCACTGAGCCATGTTTCTGTCCACAGCAGTGCTCAGGGCCCGAAAGCTGCTGGATCTCTCCTGGTTAACTGGGTCGAAACTGGTCCTGAATGATAAGGTATGAATCCACCAGGGTGGTACATAAAGAAACTAAAAGTATCACAGCATTTTGTTCGTCAGCTGAGTCCTAGACTTTGTTTGTTCACCAACATGTGAGGAGTGTTTTTCTGACACATCCCCTCCTGAAACCACTTTTCTCATATCAGCATGTTAAAACCCAGAAGATCCCTCTGATTAACAGACATGTCATACAAAAATGTAGGATGTGACTGATCAGTCATCGTCCCCTCAGGCTGAATCTGATCCTTTTACATCTGGTTTTATGATCAGGATGATTATATTTCTCTCTGTATGTGCTACTGTTTTGTACTACTTCAGAGATTCCTTGTTTAAAATGACTGCTGGAGTAAAACTAAAGAGCGGTAATGTACTGGCTTAAATAAGTCATCATGGACCGTCATCATCGTTTCAGAGAAAACCATCCCCTTTTCATCAGCTTTCAGCACAGTGTTTCCCCTCCTCACCTTTCCTCACCCCTCCATATGGGTCTTTGTTGGCATCGTACTGTATCCTCACAGACGGGTCTGCTGGACCTCCTCCCTGCTGGTAGGGGGTGCAGCCGGGCCCAGGGCCTCGCTTGTTGTGGAAAGCTGGATCGCTTCCTTCAGAAAATGGATCCTGGACGCTCACTCCTCCAATGTTTCTGGGAGGAAACCACAGCAGAAGGTGAGGACTGAGTTTTAAAACATTAACAACATAATAAAAATAGCAGATTCTGGAGGGAACGTCTTTGGAAATGTTCAAGTTTTTTTTACACCTATATGGCTCTGCTAGCCAGTAAAACCTACACACTAAACTGGATACAGTTATGTAACTGCCCCTGAGCTAATCAAAAATAGTTTTACATTTTACAGGACAAGGAAAAGGCATTTTGTTATTAAAGACATATTTAGCATGAAACATGAAATTATTAATCAACAGTATTTGAAAATGCTCAAAAACAATCACAGAGGTTTTTTATTTTTTTTAAACTTGTTAGATTGTACCCGGTTCTTTTATTGAAAGCACGAGAAGTGAAGACAGGAGAGGACTGTATAAAATTAACAGGAAGTTTACTCAAAGTCTGGGCACAGGTAAAGTCTTACAGCGCTGGGGTCAGAGAGACAGAACTCGCACAGGAAAACCATTCTCTGAACCCCGAGTTATGTTTTCACGTTACATTTATCTTCTTGGGCTGGTCCGCCCTGGACAGAGGTACATTTCATGCTTCATAATCCTATTGGTCATTGGTCAACCCCTGTGTGTGTGTGTTGTGATTTTCCAGGCGGCAACTGATCAATGAACACTGAACAATTGGTTGTCTGCACTGTAGACCCCCTATCTGTGTAATCCTATTACAGGAGAAAGCAGGACCTTGTGAGTATGCTAAACGGGTCCAGGTGAAGGTGCAAAACAGGCCAACGGGTCTTTGTTAAAATGTAAAATAGGCTGGTTACTTGAAGATACAGACACTATGTCAACACAGAAGTTAAAGTAGGCAGTTTCTACTTCAGTATCACTTGACTCTCATCAATACAATTAATTGTAAGATATATAAGCAAGAAAAATAAATGTATTAAAAGTAACCAAAGAAAATGAAGAACTGAAAAGCAACTAAAAGAAACTAAAGTTATGAAAAGTAACTAAAGCTTATAAAGTAACTAGAGCCTATAAGAATAAATTCTTACAAACTGAAAGCTGAGTCTTGAATTGTGAACAATTATATGTGGAGATTTTCAATATCTGGATATATAACAACTTGTTGAAGATGAGTAAAAGTGAGCGGTGATTTCATGTTTCCAAAACATTTATTGGCATTGACACTCTTGATAACTGAATTCCAGTGACTAGTGGCAGCGAGCAGCAGCGATGACACAGGTTAAAATCCTATTCTGTCCTCACCAAAAAAAAACTGTCCACCACTTGATCCAACCCCCACCAATCGAGGGCTCTGACCAGATCACTGATTGCTAATTCTGCACTAGCAGGCTTCCTTCTCAAGACACTGAACAGTTTCTTTCCAGTACCTATGATATCCTCATAAGCTCTCAGTCACCCTGGGTGTGTCCTAGCAGGATCCATGCACATCTCACAGTATTGTACAGAAGCCCATCAATAACATATTCCTTGGCTGAAAAAGTGAGTTTGCCTCTCAGGTAGTACAAACCACCAGGTGTTTCCTCATCGGTTTTAATTTTAGATACGGTGTGTCACAAGGCTCAATCGTGGGCCCTCAACTATTAAGTCTATGTGTTAATCATTGTCCACACAAATGATACAAGTACAAGCTAATATGCAGATGACACCTAGCTTTACTGTTAATCTCTGTCACACCAGATTAAGTGTGGTCTTTTAAATCAAAGCATGAGATTAAAAGAAAAATGATAAAACTCTTTCCTCTGAAAACATCACATTTTAAACTTTGAGCAACACATTTCTGATTCAGCAAACACTGATAAGATGGTTCTCTGTCCGTAGATGCATCTTGCCTCCCCTACCTGTTCCCTGTCTGGGGGCCCATCTGGCTGTGGGGGGTGGAGACGGGGGTTGGGGGCTTCAGGTCTCCAGGGGCCTCAGTCAGGGAGCTGCTGCTGGACTGAGGGGTGTTGGGGCCCTGGAGGGAACCTGAGTTGGCTGCAGAAATACAGACCAGACAGAAAACCTGCTGAGAATAAGCGTCACGCAACTTTACTCAACAGATGTGGAAACAAATATCTCTGTAAATCAAAAACAAAAATATTTTGTACCAACCAAGTTCCTCTGTTATTTGTGGGGATGTGTTTTTATAGTACTTGTGGGGTCCACCAGCTTCCTGGAGACCAGCAGAGACTAGATTATATCTACAGGGTTTTTCTGCTTTACAATACCTTTAAGAAACTGTATTACTTATAGAGCACTAGTCAGGTAGAAGCACAACATAGAACAACTTGTAAGACAAATTACAACATAAAACATATATGAGCCAGTTAAATAAATTAATCTTTAATTAAATACATTACAATATGTGGCCTAAAGGTTCCTCAACCAGATAAAATCATGTGGATTCTGCACTTACTGCCGATGTGCTAAGCTTGGCTGAGCACCTGTTAGCAGGGCTAATCTATCAGGGGTCTTTAGTCATTTTGAATAGATTTAGCTACAGCTCATTTATGTGGTAGAACAAACTTAAAAACTAAGAGATCTGATCAACAAAGCTAATTTTTCACAGGAAACAGAAAAAAGTGCAATGAGTGGCTTCAGGAAATCTCACAGTCAGCTCCAAGCCGCAGCGTCATTTATTTGGTAAAATATTTAAAAGTGAAATTCTAGTTTTGACTCGGTTTTGACCAAATACCTAGTTCCAGCTTTGTCAGGCAGCACAGTGACTTGACTGACTATATGTGTTCAGAGAGAGAGGCATCGTGGGAAATTAGGTCAGACTGAGGTCACTGATGTTTACATTCACACTCTCCTCCCCCGCCTGACAACTCTCTCTACTCCTCTGTTACGCAACTGCACTGTGTTTGTGTGTGAAGGGATTCCCACCACTGATGGTCTGACACCAGGACGCAGCCAGGGAGTTTGTATGTTTCTGTTATTTTCTGCAGATCCCCTCCAGAGACCAGCAGCACCAGTGAATGTGGTGTACTCACAGTAATGTGTGTGAATCCTGGTTTAGCTTATTGGTCTGTACCACAGACCAAAAACTATTCATCTCTAGTTTGCGATCTAGGCATTTTTCACATTGTTCAAAACCAAAAAAATCTAATAAATCCGATATGTTGCTCTGCCCTGCCTGGAAAGAAAGAAGAGAGTTGTACCAAAGTTTCACATGGTTCCTAAAGCTCTGGTTCTGAGAAGCCTCAGTTACCGGAGGATAAATTCCCGCAGTGGTAGATAGCTGAACGATAACAGGTGTTTCCTCACCTGGGGAGGGTGGCTGGATTTTGGTCTGGAGTGACAGGGGTTTCTTGGTGTCCCCTGTGGGCCCCAGGGCCTCAGGTGGCGGCTCCTCTCCCCGCTCCACCTTACACTCGTAGGCAAACAGGTACTGGATGTACTGCTTCTTCAGAGAGCTGGCCGAGCTGCTGGACGTCCCCACGTTCAACAGGGACGACAGCTCCCTCCACTTCTTATTCTTGTTCACCTGAGAGGAGGGAGACAGCAGGTTTACACACTAAATTAGTCACAATGCCCCTGAAAACCAGACAAGGGACAGAAAGAAGAATGCTGGGACAAACCATGAAAGCACACGGCCGACATCCAAGGCCTTAACACTCAGCTCTGATATGTTTGCGTCGCTGCGTCCCATCCGTGTGTGTCAGCACCTGTACCCACCGTTGAGCTCCTAAACCGCCACGCATACACATATGTAAGTGAAATGTGAGCCACGTGCGGGGGCTCCACACAGAAAAGTCCCGGGTGGGGCCCGAACCCGGAGCCTTCTTGCTGTGAGGCAACGGTGCTAAACACTGCACCACCGTGCTGCCCAAATGGCCCAGTTTCCTCCTAAACCACTGGGTTATGATATGTTCCTTCCAGTTTGGCCTGATCAGAAGCTTCTCCATAAACATCCTGGTCTCTCCCTGGTCTGACCCAAACTTTAAAAACCGATGATGGGCACCTTGATGTTTTCTGACAATTGACAGAAAACTAGTTGATTAATCTTTATTAATTAACTGACAATGAAAATAATTGTCACTTGCACCACTCAAGTTGGAATTTAATGTTAATTTTCAACAGGGCTGGAACTGCTGATTATTTTCATTGTTAATTATTCTGCTGATGATTTTCTTAATAAATCAGTTATTTATTTAGTCTATTAAATATCAAAAAGTAGTGAAGAATGGCTGTAACCAAAAAAGACCGCACAACCTCTGGTTCCTGCTTCTCCAGGGCGCCAATTTTCCATCTTTGGGTTTTGGACTATACACACAAATAGATTCTGAAAATAATTTTAAATTGCAAATGTTGTCTTCAAGTTTTGTTGGCTAACTAGAATGCAGCTAAAACAATCCAACAGACTCACACTACATCAGGTGAAAGAGATCAGCCCTGTGGAGAGGACAAACAGTGAACAGGAGGAGATGAAGGTGTTGCAGGAGACAGAGGAGGAGTCTAATCCACATCTCACCATGGCCAGTCCTCCGATCTCTCTGACAGCCAGGTAGAGTCTGCAAAGGTCCAGCGGCTTCTTCCCGACGGCCGGCAGGTTTGGGACAGGCGTGCCCCTCTCCTCCATGAAGGACAGGTAGCGGTCCACCCACAGCCTCCTCTCGGGCTCTGAGCCCATCTCGTACAGCCGGGTGATCTTCTCGTTGGTCATGGTCGCCACACTGGGCTTCTGGAGAGACCGAGACATTGAGAGAAGAGTGAGCTTCCAGGTTTACAGGTGAGAACAGAGGAGGGCTGCACAACACGGCCAAAAAACCACCAGTAACAATATGTCAACAGTTCACCTGCTGCACAATTTGTACTCAGGTTGTCAGAGTAGGCGGAGGCAGCGGCCAGCAGCCTCTGATTCACAGGCCACATTCACACAGACATTTGCCCTGAGATAAAACATCCAGGGGGCTGTGGTGTTGTTTTCAGTGGCATACGAGCCTTGGAAGAGCAGAGTGAAGTATTTAAAGCTTGTTAGGCTGCAGAACACATCACAGTGGTTGGCAACACTCACAGATAGGACTGTACAACTCTGCCAAGTTTCTTCTTTGGTCCTGACGATCTCGAGGTGAACAGCAGGACTATGTGTTTGCATGTAGTGACTGGTCATTGCAGCACCTTAACAGATGATGATACTTTACAGAAACAGATGAACCAGATCCACTTTTTCTGTGTGAATATGGCCTTACTGGTGAAGGAAGCTCATTTTCTGCCTGGCTGACTGCTTAACTTTTCAAATCATAAAGACATTTTGTTCAAATGCCCAACACCCCACTGCTGAGCCAAAATAAAACAACAGAATTAAATGGCAATAGCACTGATAAATGTTTCACTCATTTATTGGACAAAAACACCAAATATTTGCTGTTCAACCTTCGCACATGTAGATTTACTCCTTTTCTTTCCCTGTAAATTCAACATCTTTGGGTTTTGGACTGTTGGCCTGACAAAATATTAGATGATGTTTGGGGTTTTGCCACATTTCCACTATTACACCAGATTTAACATTAGATCTATCCCCTGATCTAAACACTTTCTCCAAACACTTCTACTTTGATGCTTTTCCAGTTGTTCTTCATGAAACTCATATTGACATTAAAACAACCAGGTTCAACTAGTGATTATTTTCATTTCTAACTACCTGCATTATGGTCAATAATACAAACGATAAAACATCAGTGAAAAATGTTGATCAGCTTCAAATGTCGATTGACAGCCCCAAACCCAAAGATATTCAGCAGAGAGAAACTGAACATCACCACACTGCAGAAGCTTGAACATTCAAATGTTTGGCTTCAATGAACAACTGGCTCAGTAAAGTAAAAACAAGTTCAGTGATCTGTTTTTAACCAGTACTGTGCAGTCCCACACAACCAGTACATACTATCACACTGAGAACAGTGCTACCCAACCCATCTTTATTTTGTATCAACACTACAAAATGTTCATGCAAACACTGATTCACCACTTTTCCTTTAGTTTCTCTGCTGCAAATTATTTCTAAAAACTTCATCGTCCCATCTGCTCTCCATAGATTCACAACAAAGCTTTTATACGCAGCAGCCGGGTTCGTCATAGGTCTGTTTAAAAACAACACTGTGCACTTCCTGCTTAATGTAAGGCATTTGCCAAACCAAGTTTATCCAATCACATGTCTCTGATTTTCAGTATGTTCAGGCTGACAAGCTTTAGATGCAATCGATATGTGGACGTGAATTAAAATGACAAAAACCCAACTCTGAAAATGGATCAATTCCCAGTCTGGAAACAGGGGAGGGAGGTTGGGCAGCACTGCGGCAGACAGTCCGCCCTGAAAACACAACCCGGCCACACTGTGTTCACACCAGCTGAGTGCAGCCAGAAACTGACAGCCTGGGGTTTAAACACGGAGGACAACACAGTCACAGCTCACAGAACGAGACTTTCTCATTAAAACTCTCTGAAAATCCTGTTTCAGCTCCAACAAGACAACAGTTTCTCTCCCAAAGGCGTCCAGTTACTTTGTGATAGTTCCCAATGTCTCTTATTCTGCATCTGCAAACTTCCTTGACTTAAAACAACATCCATGACATATTTCTTATAGATAATTAACTTTTATTCTGCAATATCACTGTGCTTCTGCCCATGGCTTCATCTCCCTCAGGAGGCTTCATTAGACCCTGGACACACCAGGAATAGGCCCAGGGTGCTTCTGCCCATGGCTTCATCTCCCTGACCTCAGGAGGCTTCATTAGGCCCTGGACACACCAGGAATAGGCCCAGAAGGGCGTTTTTGTGCATTGTAGCAAAGTACAGACAGAACGAGACACGGTTATCAGCTGGTAATTACCGGTGAGCTTGAATGGTACAACAAACAACATACACACTGTCGATGGTCTGTGCTTGGAGTTAAATGTCTGTCAGATGGACATAAGGAAACGTCCTGGTGCTCTCATCCATGGTAGAGTTGATATTGTTGATAGTGATAGTGCACATTTTACTGCGGACAAATCTATTAGCAATTAGACTGAACTTCAACCTGAAGGTTGCGGCTTCCTTTGTACAGTGCTGATTGTTTTTTTGTTTAAATAAAAAAAACTTAATACAGTGTTTTAGTTTGAAGTGCAGGCTCCGTATCATGTCTGATCATGAGGACCGAGACCCTGTCACAGTAGTTTAACCAGCAGACATCTTCACATCTGTTTTACAGGCTGTGAGCCAATAAAGGGGTTTTTCCATCGTAGGAACATAGTGGAACACATGGGCCTGTGTGATGCTCGTCACAGGTTCTGCATTTGTTTCCACTGCCCTCCACCAGCTTTGAAGCTGCGTTCTAGGACCTAAGTTGCAGCAGCCTACAGGAGATAGTACTAAGTTCCAGCAACGCAGGGGAGAGGGGTTGGTGCTCGCAGAGCTGTCGACCCATGATTGGTTAAATGTCGGAATCACACCTCAGCTATTAGCGTTACAAGCACACTCCCCGATTTAAAGGTAAAATGAGGACTTCAGCGAGCGGACCACGGGCTAAAGGATTTTGTGGACTTACTTTGATGTCAACAGCAAATTTTAGAGCCCTCAACTCACAGAGGCCAAACTAAAAGTGAAATATCCAAGTCTTCCATGCTGAACTCCTAACATACAAAGCCCTTATTGACAAGGCTCCATCGTATCTTAAAGACCTCGTAGGGCCTTATCATCCTAACAGAGCACTTTGCTCTCAGAGTGCAGGTTTACTTGTGGTTCCTAGAATTCACAGAAGTAGAATGGGAGGCAGAGCCTTTAGCTATCAAGCTCCTCTCCTATGGAACCAACTCCCAGTCTCAGTTCGGGAGGCGGACACCCTCTCTACCTTTAAGATTAGACTTAAGACGTTCCTTTTTGATAAAGCTTATAGTTAGGGCTGGATCAGGTGACCCTGAGCCTTCCCTTAGTTATGCTGCTATAGGCCTAGGCTGCTGGGGGGGCAATGATGTTCTGAGCTCCTCTCCTCTCACCTCCTCCCCTTTCCACTCCCCTCTCTCTCCATCCATCTATATGCCACCACTACCCATCAATAACTGTGTCTCCTCTCTCCCGTAATGTGTCCTCTCATTGTGTACCAGTAACAGGCAGAGGACACTACCTGGTAACTACAAGGTTTTTAAATCAAGGAAGTTTGGGCAAATCCAAAACATGAACTCACTGTTGTTTTAAATGAGAAAGTCTCAGTAAACATGTAGAAAATCATATTGTGATGCAAAACATTTACAATAAAAATGCAGCTTTGAACTTGAAAATAATAATAAAGATCAGATGCAAACACAGTGCTGCTTAGTCCAGTGAAAACCTTCCATACCCAAAAAGTCACGTTTTGTGAAATTGAGAACATCTCCTATGGACACCTGTATAATTCCAACACTAGCTGAAGGGTTTTGGCAGGATTCTCTGGCATTAGTATTGATAAGTAACCGAAAGCGACCATGGAAACTGAGACTAAAAGCAACAGACTCTAGAGCTGAGAGGTTTTCACACTTCAGCAGCAGGAAACAGGACTCTGCGGTGACTTCAGTGGAACGGTCTCGGAAGAACCATCAAAAAAGCAGCATGATGTGACAGAGACACTGTGACACCCTGGAAAAAAAAAATTCACAAGAAGAAACTGTTGTCCTTTGCGGCACTTACAGGGCTGGTCGAAGTCTTGGGCCAGGCGGGGCTGCTAATGCTATCACTGTCCTCCCCGTGACAGGAGGACAGACTAGCTGAGCTGGGGGACATGGGGGAGGGGGTGGGGGTCTGAGACACACACAGAGAGCTGTAGCTGTCCTGTGACACAAAACACACACAGAAACCATTCACACACAACAGAGTGGTGAGGGGAGACATCACGGCCAGGTCCTTTAAAATCATTCAAAATAAGAGACATCTTTCTGCTTCTGTTTCCAGGTTTCACACCATGACAGTCACAGCGCAAACAAGCAGAAGCTCAGGAGTGAAACCAGCTTCACCAAGCGGTGTTAGCATTTAGTAGATGGGAGCAGATGACAGTCGGGTTAATGTGGCGGACAGGAAACACCACTTCTGACTGCGGCTGTTTAACCTGAGTTGATTCTGGTTAATACCTCACATCTAATAACAGATTAGTGCCTTAACTTTGATGAATGAGTCATCTCTCATCGAGACTACTTAACTTATTATAGCCCTGACTCCTTAATGGAGGGTCTCTACTTTGGTCTGTTAAGGATCAAATTCAGGTTCCTAGCCCTCAAACAACTGTTCGTCAGTGGAGGATAAGCCTGCCTTTACAATATAAAATCATCCTCTGATGAATGTAAGCAACTGAAAGTCTGTTTCTTTAGTCTGGTTGGTTTGACAAGACTCACAGGTTGTATTCACAGGGTTCTGACTTCCTTCAGCAGCTGATCAAAACCTAAAAATATGACCCAGTCAACACAAATCTCTGCCTCAGTCTTCCCTTAGTTTGAGTTGGAGTAAAAGAAAAAAACTAGTTATCTTAGAAAAACTGTGGAAATAATGTGAATTTTAACTGAGCTTCAACACTTTAAAGTTTCCACATTTCGTGTTGTCTCACATCTATTTTGAAGTTTCTCTGACAGCCGACATGAAGAGACATGACACCTAACTTGCACGGCGTTAAACCGTGAGCAAACTGCTGCTGCACCAAACAAAAAGTAGCAAAAATTAGCAGCAGCACAGTCTCTACACTCTGGAGAGACACAGAGCCGGGCTGCTGGAGCTTGTCGACAAAGTGCAAACACAAAGCAGCCAGTTCTCATCAAGTGAACTCGAGACCCTGACTGCCAGACAGAGATTTGTGCCGGCTGTGATCAAGACCAACTCTTCACTACTGGATAATGAGGAGAGGCAAGTCAAAAGAGAGCAGCATGGAGGGGAAGACAGAGCTTTCAAAACTCCCCAGCTGCTGAGCTGAGAGCGAACTAAACAAGAACAAGCTGGAGAAAAAGAAAAAACCTAAACAGGAATGCTGGCCGATGTTGGCAGGAGCTGTTTACTTTGGCTTTTCTGTAGCACTTCTAGAGCAGCCAAACCCAGATGTAATAATGACAGGTGTAACAAACACCACGCCGCTGGAAACAAGCTGATCAATACTGCTGACTACAGTGAAGACGGTGCCAACTAGGAAGAGAAAAACAATGACTTGTGTTCTCTGTAAAACTTCTCCTGGCTTAAACAGAAACTGTACTGAAAAGTTGACATCTAACTGAATTACAATTTTCTTCTACAAGTTGTTTACAAAGCCTGACAGACGTCTCCGTGTTGTGCCGGGTCACGTGACTCTCTCTCTGCCAGGGTCCGATACAAAATGTGTTCTCCGGCTTAGTTTGATGATAAGAACATCTATTTAACTAGACAACACTCAGAGAGCACAGACCTCCGCCAAGGCAGCTGACTACCCATAACGCCATCCCACCTCAAAGTAATGTGGTAGCATATAGCATATTCACCCAATGGTGAACAAGGGTAGATAAGGGATTCAACTGGTACTCTGTCACCGGGGGGTCAGGTGAACAGCTGTATCATCACATTAGAGCCGCTCTAATGTCTTGGACAGTTCACATCAAGAACAGGTCATAGTCATAATTTGATCACCACTGGTGGTGAGGGAGCATGGAGGACAGACCTGAATAGGAAAGGTCTGACTAATACCTCTGCCCACAAACTCAGAAAACACCTCTTCAGGTGTTGCAACCCCAAAACCCTGTGGTGAACAGCAGCATAAGGGAATCAATCAACTGCAGTCTTTGCTGTTATGGAGGCAAGAACATGAGGTGGGAGGAATTTCTACGAGGCCAGGAAGAACAAGCTGAGGTTCTGGAAAAGCTCCAACTCCACGAAAGGTATGTAGGTAGGGTCTTACCCAAGCTGTTTTCTGCAAGAGTGGAGAGCTGCTTAACATCCATTATCCTGTGCAGAGCTGCAGAGGACTGGAGCCTATCCACCTCACACTGGGCTAGTTTCTATTGTTGTTCCTGTTTTTCTACAAACAGGCTGATGTGGTCCAGTCAGCTGCGTATCACACTGCCCACTGAAGGCCTACAACAGGCTGCTGGAAATAACACTCCAGCCAAATCATGAACCTCAGACTCCGGAGGATCTGTGCAGACTTCGAGTGGTAATCAAGCCAGCAGACCAGCTCTTACACCCTGTAAAGGTGCCATGGGAGTTTGTTCATCCAATCTAC